TTTTTCGTTTTATTCAATATAAATGTGTGTCATTTCATTTAAGGTGGAGTGGGAAGAGAGGGTTAGAGGCTTGGTCCGTTTAGGGTGGAAACGATTCAGTATTGCTAGTAGGTACTTAAAAATTTTTTTTCATATTTTTTCAGCTCCTTTAGAGCATATTTAGAGCAAATATACACAAAATGTTAACAGTTCTAGATAATGTATGTTAGATTTGACAAAATTGTACACTTATCTTATGAGGACCTTCAGAAAGTATTTTCATATGAACGTTTTCTTAATAATAAAATAGATTTTAGTCGAATCAGGACAATATTCTTTTTTTATATTCGGAGCAGCTTTCTAGAAGTAGTTTCTGAACCAACGATGATCTAGTTGACAATCCATGGCTTATTAGGATCATATAAGCGTTTTTTTTTAAATTTACATCAAAGATTAGATATTAAATTAAATGTGTCTTTGATCATTTAAAATGCAAAATATTTTTTTATATGGATTTACCGTTTTAAATTTATTCCCTTTCAGTTCAAATTTCTAGGAGGCTTTGGAAATGCTTGAAGATTAAAAATGTCCTTGCGGATTATGATTAAGAAATAGTAATCTCTGTATATAAATTATTTTCATATGTTCAGGCAGGAGCTAGTATTTTTATAATTTTAGGCATACAATCAAATTATTATTTGTTGTAATCATCAGTGTCAGCAATTGGCTCATTTTTAATTTTCAGTCATTTCCAGCGTCTTCTACATTTTCAAGCCAAACAAAAATTTTTAATTTTAAACCTGTACAAAAAAATTATTTGGCATTATAAATTAATAAAATTTTTCTTAAAAAAATTCTAGTGGTTTTTCCGAAAATTGCTTCTAAAAAAATCACAGCAGATTACGGATCGCCAACTAGAACGTCGTAATTGATTCAGAAAAAAATTAATGGGATTTCGTAGTTCTTAGTGCGCTACGCTGCATGTGTACATAGTAATGTTGCGTTTTTTAAAGTATGTACGTACTTATAGGATGCAATTTAAAAAAACCTTTGATTCGAGATTTTATAATTAACTTTACGACATGGTTTTCTACAATGTGCCTCAACTTTAAAAGAAGTTCCATTACGTGAAACCACAAAAAAGGAGGTATACACACACATGAGCTTTTACGATTTTCCCAGAGAGCACGCATGGCCGTTGATTGCTAAAAAGTCGCTAATTAATTTGCTTATTGGATAACGAGCCCCGGTAATGTAACCGTTTTTTTGCGCTGGGAATTACACATCAGGAAACATTCGCAGCGTCCCAGTTAAATTTATAACCATCGCTATCCATTGAAATCAGTATTTGCTCTAGCTAATTGAAAATCGTACAAAAAGGCAAAGGCATCCGTTAGGATCGCGTTGCTCGGCTAGAAGCGAAGCCAGTTATTTATTTAATAAGTGTCGGGTATACGTTCTTTCTCAATTCCGACATTTCCAACCGGTTTCGAAAGAGGCACAATCAATGTAAATGGTATCAATTAAAGCGATAGCCTAGCCACATTTTTTCATATAAATATTTACCCGACCCTCCGTTGTATTATTACACGGATTGACTTATTTTTCAACGCGATTAATTGCATTTATACAATAATTAAAAGCTCAAGGTAGGCATCCGTCCGTAATTGATGGCACTGTTGAGGCAGAGCCACGGATCGTGTTATTTGCAATAAAATGTTGATAAAACGTAGCGGGGCGCCGTAAAGTAAAAACAAGTTGACTCAAATGTCGAACATACTACTAAAACGTAGTAGGTACTCGACTGGAGTGACTTGAATAACCGGGATGCTAAGTTCAGTCAATTTACATAATTTGAACTAGTCGATACTTCTATATACAGGTTGTTTTCGAATAAGGTACGCCAGTGGTTCCAAAAATGCGCCCGATAACTGGATTGAAGTCGAACAATTCGAAATTTTAAGAAAGTCAAATCGACGTACAAAGTGTTTTTAACAATATCTGTACAGGGTCAACAAAATAGAAAATGATTTATTCACCAATTTTCCGTAGAGAGACCATTATGTCAAGTACTTATATTGTTTTTCTTGTAGAATACTATTATGTGCAATTCGTGATAATCAGTCTAAAAAAATTTGCACATATGGTATTTTTTGTCACATATCCTTTAATCAAACTTAATACCACTTCCTGAGAAAACGAGAACATAACCGTATTTATACCCCAGGAATGCAATGCTCAAAAAGTGTGTTATATTGATAAAATAAATGAGTTTTCCGTGAGAAAGTAGTGAAGATTTTTATTTCGATATTTTCAAAGACAAGAAAAAAACAGCCAAATATAACATTTTCCTGTGTATTTTAGATTTGAAAGAACTTAATTGTCACTCTCAATTATTATTAATTATTTATACCTAGATGTTGGTTTTATTGTTATGCTGACACAAACAGGTAGAAAATAGTACAGGTCTAGTGAATTAGTTCCTGACTGTCTCATATTAACATTCACACAGATAATTGAATTGAAAACAGCTCTAAAATTACAGGATTTTTTTTGAAAACAATTACAAATGTAACATTTTCACTGAATATCCAAAAAGAAGTCATACCCATAGGAAATGTTAATGTTATCCTGTAGAACAGCTTTTCGTTTTGTTAGGTGTTCCACAAGGATCAACACTGGGTCCATTATTATTTAATGTATTCATCAACAACATTCTTAGCAGTGTAAGCATCTTTTACATGCCGATGATATAAAGATTTATTTGAATATAAAAGTTTCACAGAACTATATCATGCTATAACAAAATCTTGACAGGCTGAATGTCCCGTGTGTGATGAATGAATAACCTTTAAATATAAGGAAACACTATATTGCGTCTGTACTAACAAAAGTCTGAGATTTGTAATACGAAATGCTTGGAATTTCTGCAATGTCGATACTATTAAGTTGTTCGACAACTGGTTTGTTCAATTTCTATTAGAAAAAACACCGCAAATCTGTTTGTGTCTTATAAAGATAATATTTCATACTCTCCTATAGAATATCCGCAGCACCAATTCAAAAAAATATAACTTCGCCGTAACTAAAAATTTAAAATATTACATAAAATATATAAACTAAACGTTTTTGTGAAACAGCAAACATTACATCTTATTCGCGCGATTCGCATATCAGGAAGAGAGTCCGCAGTAGGACTGACAAAGACATGAGACTTTGACAGTAGGGCAGGTACGTTCTATATAAAAATTTTACTTAGGTCTGGTAAAAACAGTTATTTAATTCAGGATTTACAATACATACTTAAATATATGAGCGAATTAACTCCACGCATCTGAAAGTGGACAGGATGAATTTGTAGAAAATGTAATACACTAGGCACAAAAATTAAGGGATATTAAAAAAATCTAAATTATTGGGTAATTTGCAGAGCTGTAACTTGGAGGGAAATGGTCGTAAAGAGAATAAAAAAAAGGAAATTGAAGCTTCAGGTGTCTAGTTTTTTGGAGTTTAAAATTTTTTAGCGTCAGCGGTTTTTGAGTAAACATAAGAATACCAACGAAATTTTCTAAATTTTTGTTTGTCGTTAAAAAGATCTATGAACTTCAATACTTTTTTTTTAATAATTTCACCATAAAGCTGTTTTAGATAATTTAATTCCCTTCAATTTGAGTGGTGCCAGAGCTCTGTACTATAATTTATCGCTGTTATCGTCTATCAAAGTAAAAAAGTTATTTTTGACTTTGGCAATTAATTACTCGAGAAATAATGATGGTGCAGAAAATCCAAGTAATGTTTTGAAAACTGCAAAGTATTCTCTACAGGTCGTAACTATTGGTTTCTGTTAAAAAAATAAAAAAATTCAAAATGAAAATGTTGATTGGAAAAAAATGCATAAGGGGCATTTGAACAACTTGGCAAAATTTTGCAAATAATGGATAAACTAAGGATATTGACTGTAACTTTTGAATCGCAATATGTAATACAGAAACACTTATAATTTCAAAACTCTGCGGTTTTTTTTCCTACACTACTCTTCAATTTGTTCTTCAGTTGTGCAAAACTTGATATATTTGCTTTGTAATTTATTCCCTTCCCTCTAACTAGATTTTACCCCGATGATCAGGAATAAATAAATACATAAAATCTGGTCTGGTTTTTCGAGTACAATGGAAATTATTTCTTTCTTAAAAACACCCAAAGGATTACCATTAGGAATTGCATGAGGAGTTATTAGTCCACTGTTTTCCCGTATCTCTGCCACTAGTTCTTTGAAGTATTATTAGCTAAAACGTTAGCCCGAATACAAAAAAAAATAAATATCTGCAAACTGTATTTGACAAATCGGTAGCTTTAGGCCCTTGGACTTTTATGCTTAAAATAAATCTATAATTATTCGCATTAATATCAAAACACCGTAAAAGACTTATCTAAAATGCTCTAAAGTTCTGAATTATTGCGGTTACGTAATTGGCCCCCAACTCGAGGCCCGAAATTCGGGAGGTCCGAGGTAATTTGTAGTTTAAAAGACGTGCAATTAGAATCGAAACGATCGCGTTGCCGTAAATGCTGCCGCGGCGTGCTTGTGTGTGTGTCATTGTGCTGAGCCACCGGTTAGCCGATAGGTATAATCGGGGCGACAACAGAAATTACATAGGGTCTCTATTGCTATTAAGTTGTCGTCATGGCCGCCTGATCGTCACTTAAATTTCGTCCGACTCACACCTAAATAAAAACGACCGCCCGTTTCCAAGAAAATAGCTATAATTATAATAAAAACTGGATAAAAAGCAGCCGAGGCACGTGGATTAGGGGCGGTCTGAACCTCCGTGTAATTACATCTTACAGAGATCCACCTTTATCGAGGCATTTCGATCGGGCTCCCTCATTTTTTTTATCATAAGTGAACTGCCGTTAAATAATAGGGTACAAAAGACGTCCCAGCCTCTCCGAGCTATTCCCCTTAATCGCTAAATAACTACTGTTCAATATTCTAATTTGTCTTTATTGTTTTGTTACAGATACGACAAGAAAAACCTTATTACATAGCAGATCCAGAAGTAGACTCCTTAGTAAGTATTCACTCCTTTCCTTCTTTATAGTAGAAATAGTCGTGCGTAAATATTAAGTTGTATCACGAAGGTCTAATCAAGCCAACATTATTTTCGATAAAAAGCGCGCCGTAACAAGCGAATGGCATGCAACCGAATCCGCAATCTTCCAAATGATTTTTCAAAATCTATTTGCATTTAATCGTCTGCATAAACATACCAGGCAAATAGCAGCATGGAATTATTATAACTAAATTATAGTTATTGCTATGTATCGTATCTATTATTCTAGCGTCACTAATTTTATAAAGATGAAATTTTTCTTGGATTGATCCCCTATAGTAGAAAAAAATGTTCCAAATGGATAAAAAGATTCACTGAGACTTTGACAAAAACTAAAATATTTTGAAAAGGATACGTTGATATTCTAGTCAAGTCAGGACAACAAAATACTGGTGCGGTATTTAACTTTTTTATGTTCGAGTGTAAAAATTTTACTATATCCCCCACATTTTTTAACAAAAGATAAGTGTTACAATTGGCTCCACTAAATTTTAACTACGAACATTCTTTGATGAAATGTTGTCCCTAAAAGATATATTAACTGTTATTAAAAAAGTATAAAGCAGGTCTTGATCTGACCAATCAAAATGTATCGTTTATATTTTTATTCAAAATAGAGTTCAACATTGCTACATCAAAATCGCTCAAACTGAATCACTGAAATCACAAGTTTATTCTGCTTTTTAGTGTGCTATAAAGTTTTACGAAAAGAGATATTTAACAATTATTTTTATAAGAAATAGAAAATGATGGCTATTTTCGTTTCCGGTATGCTGAAAGAATAAACTTACAGTTAAAAAATGTTTCGTTGGCAAAACATAAAATACTCATAATCGAATATATCTCTAGATCCGTTATAACGTACTATATTAAGCATTTGTAGAATTTACCCACTTTAATTGTAATAAAATGCAAGATTAAGATATGAGGTGACAAAGTAAATATTTTTAATTTTTTTATAGTCTTGCTAAATCAAAGGGTATCAGTGATTGTTGGCGTAAATTAAAGTGGTCATATTTTGATAAATAAGTGTGGAACCCCTACCATTTTTTTTGGATGGTGATTTCTACACCACAATCTTAAACGAAGTAGAATTTCTTCCATCAAGAAAACGTTCATTTAAGAGAAGAAATTATATTTACACAACACAGTCTTAATTGTGGTGTATTATATGTTTATTTGCGTATATATAAATATACCATTCTTGATTTAAGAATTTCTTTTTTGCGTGTAGACTTATATAGATAACTAAAATTAAAATAGCATCCATATTCTGAGATCTCGAAATAGTTGCACATAATATTTTTTCATAATCAATTGCTAGATACAGAGTTTTCTATATTTTTTGTAATACTTCTGCATTTTCTGGAATTATACTTCACTTCAATTTTAAATTGATCTGAACATTCCATTCTTCAAACTTCACAGTGTAACTTTAAGAAAAATGAAAATTTTGCGAAAAATAAGGAAACGCTTGTATTATCAATTGATTATGAAAAAAATATAGCCGCAACCAACTGAATGGTATACCATTACATTTCAGTTAATCTTGGTTGCAAATCAGTTTTTGAAAAACATATTATTTATTAGGGAAATGCTGATGAGTGTAACCAGATGCGGTAAATATTAAACATTTTGGCAAATTAAGATGATTTAACTTTTATTCGAATGTGATAACATGAAACGATAATTTTTAACAATTCTCTAAAAGCTGTATTAGCCAAATACTTCTTATTTGGTACATATTTTTGTTTATTTAATGTAATTATTATTAATTATATTAATTATACATCATAATTTAATTCATATCCCTATGATTATCTAAAACACATTTTCTAGTGCCTACAAATCAACGTTTAAAGATTTTTTGTCGCGTATAAAACTTCTGCAAGGATCTGTTTTCATATTTGAAGGAGATATACATAAAAAATCATGTTTTTTTTTGTACGAAATTATCTACTAAAATTCCAAGGATACCGTCGCATCCCATTATTTCCTTCTCGTAATAGCGGAATCATTGCTTTAAAAATAAAAAGTACGAAATAAGAAGACTCTACCAAAAACAGTTTTCTATAAACAATAAAAAATATTTCGCTGTCCCACATACAGATGAAGCCATATATCTCAGAAGACTTATAGCTCAGTCAGTCGGTTTGTTTAAATTGTCTTATTTTGATCAGATGAGTCTGTGACCGAGCGGTTTCTCAACCTTTCTGGAATGTCTTGTAAAATAATTGCGAATAAATGTTGATTTTCCAGTACGTCCCATGCAAACGATTATGTGATTTTATCGACTGTCCATTATGACGTCATATTTAAAATCGAATTACCCGCCTCTTCTCGATTTATTGAAATAACAGCTCCGTCCCACACTTTCACTACTTGGTTACCGAACTGTTAAGTACCGATAAATTTCCGTCATGGATTCGACGTCAAGCACGCTTTGATTTGCTGGCGCTGTTAAGTTCTGTTGTAAGGCCACCCTCGATATTCGACTTGGTTTGTTTACACCGGACCACATATCCTCCAGCGGACGGTTTATGGTACAAGGACATCCATCGGTCGCAGTTTTTACCTCGCCACAATACCAAGTCTTGGATCCCGTTGAACGGCTTAAAAATCTAAAAAAAGATGAGGCCGTCCACCATCTGCGCTAGACGCATAAGAGTTTCTTTGTAGTTAGGTTTGACGAATCCGTTTATTTAATATCCTCCCTGTCTAGCAACATAAATAAACCCCTAGGAAATTAAAGCAAAATAAATAAGTCTGTGGCGGTCCCATTACATCTACTAGAGTTTTTTCCTCGATTGAGACGCTATTTTCTCTCGGTTATTGATTGAATTGCAGATCGGTCACAATTCTATTTAAATTATTGATGAGTTGAAATATAAGTTAATTAATTCTGCGCGTTGCTTTTCAAGAGCGAGTTTTTCGCATTGTAAGCATTTTATCAATATTAATATTTTTAGTGAAAAACGAGGATCCACTTTATTTAATGTACTTGCTAATAAAAAATTCATGACTGAGTTTCTTAAAGAAAGAAATGATGCTGTTTTCAACGATTTATCAATTGATGCTTTCTACAAAGTATTTGGTCCTTCAAACCGGATACCATTTTACAAAAATATTCCTGAAACGTACTTATATACTGGGTTTCTAAAGTATAAAGTATTGAAAAAGTGAAGTTGATTAAAAAAGAGGATAAGACTTTAGGATATTTCTAATTAGTTGCCTTTATTGTCAAAACGACCTTTGCGACGGGCAATAAATTATAGTGCAAAAGGGGTATGTGGCGGCATGCCATATTTGTCAGATCATAATAAGCAGACTGGTTGATAACGACATCGGAAACTATGGCGACAATCAAATAAATAAACAGTAATTATATATTATGCAAAAAAAAGGTGCAATAATACACAGTGTTACTGACTGCCATAAAAACACTTGGTATACACTCCACCAAGCAAAACGTCAACCTCACTGACACACGCACAAACGACGAAGGTCGACGTCCCTCAAGCCATCTGGCCGACAGGGCACGCATTAGGGTGCCGCTAGATACATACGTATCGAATAAATTGATCGATGCGAAGCTACAGATCAGAGGCAGAAATGTACATGTTACTGTAGAATGACGCGGATAGTGAGATTACTAAAATGTGAAGTAGTTGATGCTTTACGATCATTAGTAAAAATAGCATCTATTAAAAACTTCGACTATTTTAGATATGCACCTCGGTAAATGTTGTTGAATGGTCATATTCGTTTTTGAAATGGTTAGGAGAAAAGAAGTCCGTCCTGGGTCAAAAGTGGATATACAGGATTTAATACATTTATTCTTGTTATACCTTTTGAATTATTTATGCAAATTTTATTTATTTTGGGTATATGCCACTGGAAACCAACACACTTTTGAAGTCAGAATTCCTGGACCATATTTAGAGAATTCACATTCTTTTATGGCCACTCAGAAAAAACACGTTGCCTATTTTTTTCTGCTATTTCGTATAGCGTGTTGCAAGTTTTTGTCAATTTTTCCTCAAGTTTTAAATTACTTTTTATTATTAATTTAGAATGGATATTAATTGGAACCAATATTTTCATGCTTCCTACTGTAATTTTGCAGATTTTGGGGATCCTAATGGGAATATTTTTATTCACTTGTGTTACTTCAAATGTCTTCCTTCTATGTCACTTACAGCAATTTTAATTATTTCCCTTAAGAAAGAGAAAATAAGAATTTTACAGTCTGTACGATATTTAAGATAGAATTCCAAGACCCCTACGTCACTTAACCGCATTCGAAACACGAAGTGGAAAGACATTGACGGAAAATTTCAAGGCACGAATTATATAGACATTCTTTTCTGTCTTACTTCTACACTAAGACACTTAAAACTATTATTTATTTGTTTTCCTTAAGAGAAAATAAGAATTGTACAGTCTGTACGATATTTGAAATAGAATTCCGAGAAGACCCCTGCGTCAATTTCTTGGAATTAACCGCATTCGACACCCGAGGTAGAAAGACATTGACGGAAAATTTCCAGGCAGGAACTTTATTGACTTATTATTTTCTTCGAATTCTATCTCGAAAAATATCGTACGGACAATTAGCTTCACTTAATTATCAATAACTACAATTCTGTGACGTATCTGCCATGCCATTAAGGTATCCTGTCTTTGTCACTCCTATTGTGGACTCTCTTCTTGATCTGCGTGTCTAGCGGATAAAATGAGTGTGATCAAGCTCTAATGCAGAACTGTAAACTTCTTATTTAACTAAAAAGATATCGAAAACTCTTGAAAATTGTATAGGGGGGACCTTGGTGTCACAAAACTGATTTTGATAAGTAAATAAGGGTTTTCCCATTAGTATATATAGCTTTTTTAATTTCAAAGACAGAAATGGAGTACGAAAATATTAACTCTGTTTTCACTACAAAAATAATACCTAC